AGTGCTCTTCCAGAGGACTCAAGTTCAGTTCTCAGCACCCACTTGGCAGCTCACAAATGACCTGTCAAATCCATGAATCTGATGCCCTCTACTGGCCTCCATAGGCACTTCATTTAGGTGACACAGACATATGCAAGCAAAACATAAAATAATGAAACAAAAGTTTAAACAATACACAAACATCTCCCATCAAAGAAAAAAGTCTATGATTTGATGGCTATGCTGAACTTCATCCATATTTAAGGAAAGAATGGATATCAATTCTTCTCAAAGTTATCCCAAAGAGTTGTTTTACAAGTATTACTCCATTATTAAAGCCAGACAGAGGCACTACAAGAAAGGAGGTTATAATCCAATACTCCAGAAGAGCACAGATGGAAACAGATTTCAACAACATGTTAAAAGGATTGTTATCTGGCAGTCAGAGGATGGACCTGTAGTCCCAGCTGCTTGGGAGGCCCGGGCAAGAGGATAGACCACTTACCCTAAAAGTTCATTAGCCTTAGAAACATGCTGAGAATATACCCATTAAAACTAAAACAATAAACAAAATCAGGAGGACTGGGTCTGGAGAGGTAGCCCCATAGTTCACCCATAACTTCTCTTACAGAGGATCAGTGCATGGCATGTATGGCAGCTTGCAACAATTGTAACTCCAGCTCCCAGGGGGATCTGATGCTCTCCTTTGGCAACTGGGGAACCTGCATGCCCATATATACACAATTAAAATAAATCTTAAACTTTTAATTTAAACCAAAGTATTACCCATCATAATCAAACAGGACTTATTCCTGGAGTGCAAGGATGGTTCAACATATACAGCTAAAAAACTGTGGTATATCACATCAATAAATGAAGGACAAGAGGACCACAAAGACAGATCAAATTTAGCACCACTACTGGTAATGTGATATCTCCTGAAGCGATGTAACAGGATCAAGGAACAGCCCATGACATACTCTTGCCAAAATGTCTAGTTCAAATTCAATCAAACCATTAGCCCCTGACTTCCGCTTCTGTAGGAGGTCTACGGCACAAAGAAATAAGTCAATGAAACTATGAAAACTAATCCAAAAATGAGGCCTTTTAAAAAATGCTGGCCTTATATTCTTAAAGTAGTAAAACACTAGGAAGAAAAGAGGCTAATAATGTTCCAGGTCAGGGCTTCTTAAACTTTTTCTCTAGAAACCCCCTTTTGCCCCAGAATGTTTATATGACCTCAGATATGCAAGTATATAAACTAAACATTTATTGGTGATAAATAATTAAGACATTTATTTTAAAATAATTCACTGGTAATAATTTTTAAATTTTATTTTATGCACATGGGTGTTTTTCCTGCATGTATGTCTATGCAAGACTTGCATGCAGTACCCATTGAGTCCAGAGGATCCCCTGGACCTGGAGTCACAGACGGTTATGAGATGCCATGTAGGTGCTGGGAATCAAACCCAAGTCCTCTGGAAAAGTAGCCAGCACTCTTTATTTATTTATTTTGGTTTCTTGAGACAGGGTTTCCCTGTGTAGCTTCGAACTCACAAAGATCCACCGAGCAGCTGGCAGTCTTAACCACTATGCATTTTTCCAACTCCCTAATCTTACCATTTGTTAAAGACAAAACAAATTGGCATGGTGCAGAGATGGACATGCTAGCTGTTACATAAGGAGTGCAGCCTTGGCTTATATTTGGCACTGCAGGATGAAGGGCATCGACCACATTTTTTTAAATTTTTTTAGAGATGGTTATTATTTTTATTAATATTTTTCATTGCCAAAGCTAACAACACTGCTTTGCATACATATATAATGCAAAGTGATGGAAAAATGTCTAGAGCCATTTCAGAATTGACTGGAATTTCTGTGTGAACGTGAAGCCAAACCTCATTTATAAATATTTCCAGGAAGCTCAAATCAGCAACCCAGATAAAAATTTTTAAAATCAGCCAATCAGTCAGGAGATCCAGAAATGGTTTACAGGTTAAGAGTGTTTGGTGCTCTTCCAGAGGACCTGAATAGGAGTCCCAGCATCCATTTCTGGCCAGCTCACAATCACCTACAGCTCCAGTGCCAGGGGACCAGAACCTTCTCCTGGTTTTTGTGAGAACTTACACTCATGTACATTGCCATACATACAATTAAAAACAAAATCTTAAAATTAGGCAATTAAAAATTGCCTAATTTGATATACACTAAGGAATGACTAACTAGGAAAATATAGGAAGTCTGTGTTTTCCAAAATTAAACCATCATGTATCTATGAGAGCAGAACACTCTGTACGCACAGCAAAAACACTGCAATCAATACCATTCCGTAGTCTCGAATCTGAGTTGAGGTGTTTGGGGCAGCATTTGCTGGCATTTTAGCAGTGTGGCAACAGGCTCACAGCAAAATGTGCACACTATGCTCAGAACCAAGGCTGTAGTGAAGACACAACACAGGCAAGCACTACCAGAAACATCTCACATCTGTTAAACAGCTTTTATTGTTGCCAAATTGTTCAGAACATTGCCACATCTGGGGAGTGATGCCCTCTTTTGATCTCCATGGGTACCTGTGCCCCACCCCCATGCCCACGGTCTGGCTCAACTGCTGTCTTTACAGGTTCATCATTTTCTTTTAGAAGCTGAACTCTCCACTAAAAGATTCCTCTGAAACAACACACTAGGCAAACTCTGAGCTGAGTGGCTGCTGGTTTGAGACAGCTGAAGGAGACAATTGTGGGACAGTGACCATGGAACTTGACTGTGAAGACCATCTGGGAGGTTACATTAGGGAGTTACTGCTCATTTTCCAAGCTGGCAATGACAGTGCTAACGGTCTCCTAGGGAACACCCCTGTTAAGAATTACAAGATGAAGTATTCCAGGTGTGACTCTGGGTACTGCGTACTTCCAAGTGTTTCGGAGAGACCGTGTACAGCACAGGCCTCTAACAAATGCAACAGAATGGAGCAACAACAGTAATGGTTTGTTTATTCCTTGTCCCCAGGACTAAGTAGTGTGGGTGTAGAAAGGGTTAAGACAAACCTGCCTCCAAGGGTCTTTCTGTCTCACAGAGGGGAACTTGTGGCTTTTCACACTATGAAGTGAGTGTACTCATCCCACACACATTTACTAGGTGCCTGGTCCTTTCTGCACCAGGAGCTTCAGGCACAAAGCTCAGAGACCTTTGAGGGAGGTGTGACTGTAAAAGTGTTAGACTTAAAATGCAGAGTACTAAAGCAACAAGGAGGAGAGGGGCATGGGGACTGTGGGGGAAGAGGCAGACGGTTGCAAGGCTGACAAGAAGTCCAATAGAGAACGGAGATATGGGTGGGCAGAAGTGTGCTGGCATAAATGCATACCCCACCCCCACCCCCAGGCCTGTCACATGCTCAGGGGGACAGTGCCCCAGGTGCATGAAGTAAGACAGAAGGTAGCCATGGGCTGAGGGGATGAGGTAGGTGGGTGTTGAATTTTAAGCAGATTTAGGAACTGGGGCTTCTTCCTTCAGGCACCGGGAGCTGAGAGCATTCACCTTGCTGGGCCCTAACAGGGGACAGCATTATCTGGCCCCTGGCTGAATCTCCTCATGTACCACTAGTCAAAGGGACTTTCAGGGACCAACTCTATGCCAGTAGGCAATATAAAGTGTTGCAGGCTGAATGTTTCATGATCCTCGAGCTATTGGTGCTGAGAGTGATGAAGGGTGGCCCTGGAGCTGTGAGGGACAAGGCCTCGGGGATCAGTTTTTCTTGGGACTCCACAGAGAATTTCTAGGACCAAGGAATAAGTGGGGCCTTAACCTTGGCTATTTAGGAGGCAGCAGCTTTTTGCTGTAGTCACAAGGTATTTTGCACGACCTCTGGGGCTATCTAGCTCCATGGCTGTCTTTATATGCTCATCATTTTTTATGCTGGGCACAGAGAGAGCTTTTTGTACAATGATGTACTCAATTATGTCACAGTTCCTGTCCTAAACTAAACTGCCAACTGCCTCTGCTGATCTGGCCTGAAACTCAGGGTTCCAGATCCTCTTAACCAAGGTCCCACGTCTTTGAACGTGGTGGGGGATTAAGGGGGTGGGGCAGATTCCTAGACGTGGCCCCAGAATTGGGCCTTCTCTCATCATTAGGGAGAGTTCTTCCACAAAGTCCTCACAGCTGAGAGTATCTCAGTATCTCAAAGGAGGGCGCTTACCAAAGGCCTCCTGGCATTCTTCAGTATTTGCTAATGTCATTGTCATGTCTCTTTTCTCATCGGCTCCATAGGGGATGTCTCTTTAACCACAATAAGAAAACCATGGTTGCAAAGGGCCTAAACATTAGCGATGGGTGTCTGGCTGAGGAGAAAGCTCAGGGCCCAGGGGCAAGGTCAGATGGGTACCATACCAACTGCAAGCCACTCATCAGTGTGCAAGTAGGGAGCCAGCCCCAGGCACAGAAGGCAGGCAAGCAGAAACAGGAACCCTCAGGCTGTGGGAGGTGATGGGCCTCAGCCATCTCAACTGAGGGCAAGGAAGCTCTCTCCACCAAGAAATCATCCTGGGTACCCCCATCAGCTTGTGTCAGCTGTGTCTGGCCTGTGCCCACCCAGAGGCCTAGTGAAACCACTGGACAGATGAGCAGAGCAGGTCATGATGGTGATGAAGGCACTTTAGAACCATTGCCACCAGGAGGAGGCCCAATCTCAGGGGGAACTCCAGACTGGGTCAAGTGGGGTGCGTTCACAGAAGGGGGCGGCGTCTTCTTAGAAGTAGGAATGGTGAGGATGGCCCATGCAGATATCTCTTTTTGGGTCCCAGAGCACCCTCCACCTCAAGTCTGGGTCCCTCAAATCCCCGCCCCCATCCCAAGAAGCCTTGTCAATCAGGAATCAAAACCTGCTGAGGGCTGGGGCACAGACTGACCCCCAAAGCCAGTTCTGACTCAGTCTGCGGGGTTGAGTCAAACCCTCTACCCTGATGAGTTGTTGCACACCGGAGCCCTGTGTACCCCCACCAGGCCCGCGCCACCTCGCCTACCTGTGCCCACGGCTCGGCTCCTCCTCGCTGGCACTGCCCCAGCCTGGACTGAGGTACCGGGCTGCGTCCCCCGCTGCCTGAGCTGGGGTCCCTTCATCGTCCTCCTCCAGATCCTCTACATCCTCGGCCTCCTGGATGGCGACACGGATCTGCACCGTGGTCTCTGGCCCGGGCAAAGTCTGATCGCCGAGCTCGGCCATGGCTGGCGGGGTCCCCGCGCAGCGCGCAGCGAGGCCGGGCCAGCCAGCCAGGCGGCCGCGATAGCAACGATCGCGCGTGGGTGGCGCGCGCGCAGCGGCGACTCGGCCCCAGGGAGGGACGGGGGTCGCGATCCGCCTCACGCCGCACCGCGGGCACCGCCCTGAGCGCCCGCGCAGGGATGACTCCCCAGCTCCACAGGCCTGTCCCAGGGTAAATCCCAGACCGAGTCCCTCCCAGTCCCTGTCTGATGGCGCTCCAGCCCCACAGCTCCCTCCTCCCTGCCTCGTTCACAGACACCGCTCAGCTGGTTTCTGGCTTTGGGCTGGACTAGTGGAGACAGGCACAAGTCAACAGATCCCAGGCTTGTAGGCTTGTCTCCCTGACAGACCTGCCAAGGTGAGAGAAAGCACTATCACTACCGTTAGTTTCTCTGGCACAGCCACCTTAATGCTAGGGTGTGTCCTAGGAGATCAAGAGCTGGGCTTCTCCGTGTCCTGTCCCCTTAACAGCACCAGACACACCTGGCAGCTGATCTAACAGCAAATTGTCAGGCCCCGGAGCAAACCGACTGAATCAGGGTCTGCAATTTAAGGAGCACTCAAAGATGCTAGAACATCCTAAGTTTCAAAACCACTGTACTGAGATAGTGTTGAGATAGCACTCAGATATTTATTAGGTGAAAAAAGGACTATTTAAATGTCAGTGTGCTCTAAAGTCCTGCTACACTTTAGCAGTCTTAAGATGAGTCTGACATGCAGCCTTAATGTCCAGAAACAAGGAACATGGTAACATTTGAGTTTGTATCCATGAAGTTCTCCATCTAAGTAAGGCCTTCAACATAACTGATCACATTAGCCACATCAGGGCACCAAAGGACAGACCCATTGTCCTACAAGTTTGTTTGCTTTGCTGTAGAACCTCAAGGCAGGAGACACTCAGGAAGCCTGGTATTTGGGAAGTCAGTCTCCCGGTAGAAGGACGCTAAGCATAGCACCCTGGTTTTCAGGCGACACCAGGAGACACCTTAGGGCCCAAAAAGGTAGTAGCTTCCATCTTAAAAGCTAGAAATGGAGCCCACTGCACACTGGACAATTGCTCTGTCTTTGAGCTATACCCCCAATCCCATGGTCTCTCTTTTGAAGTTTGACTAAATTTGTGTACCATTGTCAGATCTATTGTGTTTTATCTTATCTTACTGAGAAGGGGCCTCACTGTGTAGGTCTGGTTGGCCTGGAATTTGCTAAGTAATCCAGGCTAGCCTCAGACTGAACTCACAGAGATTTGCCTGCCTCTGCCTCTCAAGAGCAGAGACTAAAGACCTGTGCACCTCCCCACATACCCCTAACACCATTACCCTCATGTTAGATCTTTTTCAATAGAAGTCCCGTAGAAAGAGAAGAGAGCTCCCACCAGCCATGGAGCAGTATTCATCTTAGGGCCTTGTTTTAATAACAGGGTGGGAAATAGCTTTTTTTTTTCCCCCCATTAGTTCCTGAGGATGACACAGAATAGGCAAGTAAGGCACCATGATAGATGGAGGTTAGGTTGAGCCAAAACTCAGCCCTGCAAAGACCTTCCAAGTACATGAAAGTTCAATCAGTTAGAAATATTTTCCTAGTATCTGGCAGAAGAGTTGCAAACCAAGGACCAAGGAATAAGATGTAAATGCAGCAAAATTGGGGTGGCTAGATGTTAAAGAGAACTCACTCAGAGGTCTGAGGGTGTTTTTATGGACTTGATTTATCATTTGTCTAGGCATGTGTCAGATACCAGACCCTGGACCACACTCAGTTTTGCAAAATGACTGAGGCATAATGGATGAATGCTAGGGGATGGAGACAGTCTGGAAAAGCAGACTATAATAATAAGAATGCAGCAACTACAGTTAGTACCATAACAGATGGCCAGAAAGGGCATTTTCAAGGATGCCTTGAAATGTGGCTTTATTATCATTTGTGTGCTTGTATGCATGCTTATATAGACACAGGTACACAAGTCGCCTTGGGTGTTGTTCCTTGGGAACTGTCCATCTTGTATAATATTTGTTTGTTGTTTGTTAGTTTGTTTTGAGGCAGGATTTCTTTTTGGCCTAGGGCTTGCCAATAGAGCTAGGTTGGCTAAAAGCTCCAGGGATCCCATGTGTCTCTGCCTCTACAGTACTGGAATTATAAGCACAGGACTCTGAGGCTGGGCTTTCAGCATACTGGGGGACTGAATACAGGTCCTAATGCCTGAGCAGCAAGCATCTGCCCTGCTCCTGAAGCTTACTTTGAGGGCTCACTCATAAGCAGCAGTGAATTAAGGAAAAGCTCCCACCAGAGTATCACAAAGGCCTGGACTCAGACCCTAGTCATCGATTCTTAGTTCCTTCATCTCTCTGATGAAGTTTTCTTGCTTGTAAAAATAGCCTCAATGATCCTTCTCTGATGGAGTGGGAACTCAGATTAAAATTAGCCCATTTATGGAAAATTTCTAGCCCATACCCCAGCCCAGGAAGATGCTGAGTATGTGGCAGTGGGTGTGGCTTTCTGGATATAGCTTTACCAGAAAAATCGTACCCCAAATGGGACACTGACATTCTCACTGTTTCACCTGCATCTCCCTCCCTGGTAAATTAAGAAGTTATGGTTCTGCTTTTGTTCTGTTTTTTTTTTTGGGGGGGGGGGTTGACACAAAACTCTTTTAGTTGAGGTAGCCTTTCAGAGCCAACTTAATCCCAACTTCACTGGTGTAATGAAGGACTTCTCTTGGTTAATATCAGCACCTTCCTGTAGTTTATTCCCAACCTCAATAAGAACTAGGATACTTAGCTGGAGCAGTGGTAGTGGCGCACACTTTTAATCCCAGCACTTGGGAAGCAGAGGCAGGCAGATCTCTGTAAGTTTGAGGCCAGCCTGGTCTACAGAGCTGACCACTCAAAGATACATGTACTCAGCAGTTCTAATGTGAACTGTCAAACAGTATCTAGTGCCCCTTATTTAGTTATTCCCCTCTCCAATTTTAGATGGATACATGCCCCAACTAAGTAATATATTCCTTCAATTGTTTTGAATATTGTTATAACTATCAAACTAAAACTACCAGAAGTTAATATATTTGTATATACATACATACATACACAAGCACATGTACACTGCACACACACACACACACATACATATATATATATATGAAATTCAGATATGCTTCCCCAACCATTTCCTTCCACCCATTGGCTAGAACAGCCATGTCAGGCTCAGAGATGAAAACCTCTTGAGCTAAAAGGAAGTTCTGGACTCGTTTGTGTGGTTTGTGTGTCATAATTAGAATTATGATTTGGGAAAGAATAGATGAAATTCATGTCCACTGTATTTTGAGGTAACGTTCTTGTAACAGCTTGGATTATATCTTAACTATCACTTAGTATTAATTCTAATAGTAAGACATAATATTAACTCTAAATTTGAGTGATATAGCAGGGAAATACCTAGCTTGGGCTCTAAAATATAATAGTTGCTCAATAAATTGGATATCAGTCCTCCAATTTCTAGAATCTGAATTTAAGAAATTTAACAATCTAATATTTATTGTATGCCCAAAGTGTGAAAATTATGTAAGAATGATACAGTATTCCAAAATAATATGATTCTCCTGCTAGGGCAGGCAATTATGTTATCATGGGGGAGTAGATTCTTTACTTATCCATCTAATTCCTTTATAAGAATTGCACTGTCCACTGTCAATGTAGTAAATAGAATCCCAGTCTCTGCTGCAAATGGCAGAGATGGCTGTGGCTCCTGGAAGGCCTTTGGTTACTGTCACCTACTCTCTTAAGTTTGAAGTATCCTCCAAGAAAAGGTTATATTATCCCAAGTTTGGGTCCCACCATTTAAAAAAATAGTACATTGGGGCCAATGAAATGGGTGCTTGTTGCCAAGCCTGATGATTACCTGATTTGATCTCAAGAACATACAAGGTGAAAGGAGAGATTTGACCGCTGACCTCCATGTATACCATGTCACAATGTGTAACCTCCTCCACTAAATAAATGTGAAAATAAAAATACCGCATTGCTGTTAGAGCAGGAGTTTCCTTGATGTATACAGTTTGTGAATTTCTGGGGTGAGGAGCATGAAGGTTCATATGAAGCCCTTGTGTATCTTTACTACCTTGTTGGTGATTGTCCTGGCTTTGACTCATGCATGCCACTTTGCCTTGTCACCATGACAGATTACATACCTTCCAACCATGAACCAAAATAAGTTCCTTCCCACCATGTTGCTGGGTATTTTGTCCCAGCACTGAGAAAAGTAACTGGTATAGCATATAGCTATACTGTTTTATCATATATATCAGAGCATGCATTCAAACTTTGCCTGCAATTGTTGCCTTGCTAGTAACTGGTTGACCAAGCCAGTGGTGAGTGTGATGGGTAGAAGTAAATGAATACTATAGGGTGTAGGGTGAACAACTACACATTACAGTCAGAAAGGAGATCTTGTCTCCGACCCACCAACCCCCAGGAAAACACACAGCAGCTAATGTGCTGCCTTGAACAGGATGTGGACTCTGTTAGGTCAAGGATTCTTGGTTTTGACTGGACATTAGAATCACTTGGAATGTTTAACAATTTTTTTTGAATACTCTATTCAATTAAGAATTCCTTCAAGCATCTGGCTTGGCTATCAAAGTTCCCCAAGTGATTCTAAATGCAGACACATTAAGAGCACCCATGCCAGACCTTTCATGCCCAAATTTTCTATAGATCTGTGGTTTGGCTATTGGCTCTCCAGACTTCAACATGGAACTAATCTGATTAATTCAAGCTCAGGGTCTTTATTGAGACACAGGGAAATTCCAGAATGAATTTCTCAGGTGTATTATGTCACCTTTGGAAATTACAAAAGCAAATAAAAGCCTATCTCTGGGCTGGTGAGATGGCTCAACAGATAAAGGGACTTGCCTCTAAACCTGAAGACCTGAGCTAGAACCCTGGGACTTATACTGTAGACAGGGAGAACTGATTCCCATGAGTTATCCTCCAACTTCTACACATCTGCTGTGGCATATGTGTGTGTGTGTGTGTGTGTGTGTGTGTGTATGTGTGTGTGTGTGTGTATGTGTGTAATTGTAATTAAAATGTGATTAAAGAACAATCCCATCCCTTTTTTAAGTATTCTAATGTGGAAGAAACAACTGAAAATGAAAGTCCCAGGAGAAGTCCAAATTGCAGCCTCTGTAAGGTCTGCATGCTTCTGACACCTTCAGGAAACAGCTAAGCAGATTCTGAAGATGCCACAGGAGCCACTGAATACTCATCCCAGAGCTGGGGTAGCCAGGCACCACAAGCTTGACCCACTAACAAAGTGTCCATTGTCAGAGAGGATGAATGAGTTGGGGCTCAGATCAGTGTTTGACTTGTGCTTGTCTGCCTGAGGGCCCAGACCTAGCCCTTCTTTACAACCCATGGTTATAGATCTGAGGC